GTTCAGGAAGCAAAGTCTTTGTTTCAATCAAGCAGAAAATAATACCCTAATCCAAGGAAGAAATCACACATTCACAAAACTTTCAGGGCAAACTACTGTATACTGGCACTGGTAATGTTACTTAGTCAAGTAATGAAACATCTATAAGCAAAAAACCAAACTCAGAGAATAGCAAGGATCATACTATGCAACCTGACTTATATATAGCAATAGCGTTCAGATTTATATACTGCTTCACAGTGCTTTACAGCCCTCTCTAAGCAGTTTACAGAGTCAGCATATTTGCCCCCAACAATCTGGGTCCTCATTTTACCCACCTCAGAAGGATGGGAGGCTGAGTCAATAGCAATAGCAGTTAGACTTATATACTGCTTCACAGTGCTTTACAGCCCTCTCTAAGCAGTTTACAGAGTCAGCATATTTGCCCCCAACAATCTGGGTCCTCATTTTACCCACCTCGGAAGGATGGAAGGCTGAGTCAACCTTGAGCCGGTAAGATTTGAACAGCCGAACTGCAGAACTGAAGTAGCCTGCAGTGCTGCATTTAACCACTGCGCCACCTCGGCTCTTATATATGCAAGTTTATTAATTTTGTCTTAAAAGTACGGTAGGGTTGATTTTACAGTCCTCAAAACATTATAATTACTAAAATTAAAAATGGCTAAAATTTTGAAAGACAGCCAAATGGTATAATATATCTGCTCTCACATGAAAGCTCATGAGATTTCGTGGCTTATTTTTAAAAGAACAATTTCATTTTTTTGGCATATGCAAATGTTTTCATTTTTAGCATGTGGAATCATCTACACAAATTGTCATCTCAACAATTTGCTGAATCTGGAGTGCAGTAACCCAGGACATCCCACGTTAGTCTTTTTTTTCTTACCTACGAAATTCCTCTGCTTTATCTGCTGCTATGATTTCCGTAATGTTGCCCTTGGGAACCTGGTAAGCAGCAGACAAAGTTGTATTAAATCAATAAAATAGAATAGCCTCAGTCAGACTTTTTAAAATTTTCTGCATACCTACATTTTTTCTGATATGTCATTGTTAGCTTCCCTCCATTACATACTAGCATTCAATAGGTGGACTGATAATTACAAAATGTCTATGCATCAGTTATGAAGAATATATCTCAATAACATAATCAGAAACTTTCCGTATTGGAAATGAAATAGAAATTTCATAGGTTGCTCTCATAGAGGACTTGTGGTAGGGTTTGAAGGAAGGACTATTTTTATCCTATTGAACTTTCACTACTAGTAGTAGTAATAGAGCGGCTTTCAACACACTATTGATCACATTATTATTTGGCACTACCTATGAGAGTTGGAAGTTGGAAGCACCATTTCACAGTCCTTCTACTCTTTCCTGAATTGCAAATTCAGTTGGTGATGAAAGGAGGGGAGAGGACAGTTCCTTGTTCATTTCCTTTTGTCCCAGAGTTTGGTATTTTCTCAACCTTTAACATCCTACATAGCTGGATATAAAGACTGGAAGTGTCACCCCGCTGTTCACAGTGAGGTAGCATCAATTTTCAGGTGATACCCCGTACCAGGGGTGGGTTCCTGCCAGTTCTAACCTCTTATATAGAAGAGGTTTCACAAATCTACAGTGCCTTTTAGAACCGGTTCCAGCTCCCTCCCACCGCCCGTCCGCACATCATCAAGGTGAAGAGCGAGAGGAGGAATTATGGGAGTTGAAATCCACAAGTCTTAAAGCTGTCAAGTCTGAACACCCCTGGGGTTTTTTTTCTAAAGGGCTAGGGATGAAAGGGTCTTGTAGCTTGACAGCTTTAACACTTGCATGCTTCAAATGCCAGAGTTTCTGAGTCAACATTTTGGTTGCTAAGCAAGAGCGTTGTTAAGTGAGTTTTACAAGTTGGCCACACCCACCCAGTCACATGGCCGGCAAGCCACTCCCACAAAGCAGGCCACACCTACAGAAGAGGTTCTAAAAAAAATTGAAACCCACCACTGCCCCGTACCTTCACTCTGTGCCAAATGGAAGATAACAGAACACACAATGCCTGGAGGCCTTCAGGATATGAATGGGGAGAAGCAGGCATGGCCTCAACCCAAACAAGACAGAGTGGCTACTTATTAAGAAACTTACTGATTGCAGGATAACAGATTGTGCTTCTCCAGAGAATGTAGGCCCATAATTTGATGGCCCTTCTGGACTCACATTACACCTCTGTTCAGGACCCACGTTAGTCATTACCCATAAAAGCCTGCATGGCTCAAGGTTGGCTATATTTTTCCTAGATCCATGATGCTGTTATGCAATTCATGTAAGTGTTCACTCCAAGTAATACACCTCTCATAACAAAAGTCTGTAAAACTGTACCTCCTTCTCCAGCCAATTAAACAGCTCACACAATGCAACAGCATCTTTAATCTGTCATTAAAAGAAGAAATAAAAGTTAAAAATGTAGAAGAATTTGGAAGAATCCATCCAGTGCTTCCCATATACTGTGTTTCCCCGAAAATAAAACAGGCTCTTATTTTCTTTTGACTTTTGAAATAAGCGCCTGGCCTTATTATTTTTGAGGTGCAGGAGACGGCGAGTGTAGTCACCTCATGACTGCTGCTGTGTTACAATATTTTTGGGGATGGCTTACTTTCTGGGCAGATCACTTACATGAGCCTTCCTCATGCCTTCAGCTTCCGCCACATTCTTTACAGCTTTTGCTATGCAGATGGGAGTGTAAGGAGTGAGGTAGCAGTGATCCTAAAACATGGACAAAACCAAAAAAAAAAAAAAACAGAGTTTGGTCAGGTCTCTAAGTACTTGATGGTCCAGGTGTGGCATGGCATGGTCAATACAGTAAACTACATTTTCTTTGACATCATATCTGTGCTTGGATCATAATCTGCTAATTTACTCATTTCCAGACTCTTATCTGTTTTGTATTTATATCCTTCTTAACCAGAACTCAAGAGCATCAAAATGCTAAAGGACAAGAAAGGTTGGAGCTATTAAAGTATTTTGGCTCATATTTGTCCCATGTGTGAGATATTATTGTAAACAGCAGAATAAACAGCAATAATAAGGCTTGAAACTGAAAGACGTGATAAGGGAATACATTTTTAATCAAAAAATTAAATTCCCAAGGTCAGAAGAACTGCATAATAGGCTGCTGAAAGGAACTTCCTAATGATCTCGCCAAACCTTTATGTATCATCTGCAAAAAATACTAAAGAACTGGCAGGCAACTACAGGAGAAAAAAAATTGTCCCTGTGTTCAATGAGGGGGGAAAGGAAGCTCCAAGGTAATTGCCAGGCACCAGCATCTTGGATTAATCAAGAAAATAGTCTCTGATATTGCATCAATTTAGCAATATTCTAGTATGGCAAACATCAACATTTGCATTCTGGAAAAAAAAAAACTAGCCATACAAAGAAGAAGTAATAATGGAATAGAAGATGAAATAAATGAATTGCTAGTTTCAAAAAAAAACCTTTCCCAACCTTTGTCAGAATAACAGACTACCAGATCAATGTTACCTTGTTTCTTTTTTCTAAAAAGTGAGGAAACTTTGTTGAACATCTACAAATATAAATTAATTTTAGGAAGTCATTGAATACAGCTTTCCATGATGTTCTGATTAGCAAACTAGTTAAATGTAAGCATTACTTAATTAACTGTAAACATTGAAGTTAAGGATCAGCAGGTTCACACCTTGATCACGTTTGCATTAGTAACAATGAAAAAGTGGAGGGGATGCTTCTTCTATCTGCAAATGATAACAGTTGGGTAAAACAGGTAATGAAGAGAATCAAAATTATGTTCATAGATCAGAGAAAAGGGCTGAAGATAAGAAAAAGACATTTAAGAGAGTCCTGATTTAAGAAATCAAGTGCACCAAGAATACGGAAATTGATAAAGAGTATTTGTAAAAAGGGTTTTGGAAGGCTGTTGCAAACTGAATCTGAGTCAGTGATAGAGTATGGCAACAAAAACAGACAAATGCAATTTTAGACTGCTGAGTTTCCTTTCTATCAGAATTATAAAATAAATATCCAAGACACACACAGTCTGTGTGCGTCTCTGTCTCTCTCTCTCTCTCTCTCTCTCTCTCTCTTTCCCTCCCCCTCTCCCTCCCTCCCCCCTTTAGATGCTGATAATCTAATCTGCCTGTCTTTTTCTAATTCAACACATTTCTTGAATAAATTCTTTAAACGTACTAGTCATTTCATCTATCCAGAAACCACTAGCAGCTTCCGAGATCTTGGCTTCGGACATAAATTGCCTGTTAGTATGTACACACCTTGGGAATGGCCTGAGTTAGAGCATAGCTGGCTTTATCACTGAGCCAAACTTTTTCATGTGGAGAGAGAGTTTCACAAATTGATTTCAGAACATTGAGGATGGAATCGTACGGCAGCACTTGTACATGCAATTCAGGGTCCTGAGCAGAATCCAGGGACAGATGTTCTCTCACATTTGTGTCTACCAAGCGATTACCATCAATAAACAACCTAAGAGAAGAGTGGGGAAAGAAACAAAGGATGACAAAGTGCCCCTTTAATAAAGGAGGGACAACTGTGTTTTTACATTTATGAAGGGTCACTGGGAAAGTCTTAATGATCTTGATGTCAAGCTCATTAAGATAATTACTACAATGTCCTTAAGATAATACTTCTCAGAAAAATAAATTTAAGAAATATTACATATGGATGATATCCAAATCATATTCTGTACAGTTTAACTCTGATACAATACATAATATTCTGTTCAACTCTCCCTAAAGCACTTTAAAAGCAAGTAGCAATATAATGGTGTATGGTAATTTTAATGCAATATTTCTACATAAATAATGTTTGAGTAAAAAAATGATGAAATCTATGAGGTGCTGGATAATAGCAATAACATTTAGACTTATATACCGCTTCACAATGCTTTATAGCCTTCTCTAAGTGGTTTACAGAGTCAGCATATTGCCTCCAACAATCTGGGTCCTCATTTTACTGACCTCGGAAGGATGGAAGGCTGAGCCAGAATCGAACTCCTGGCTGTGGGCAGTTTATTGCATTCTAACCACTGTGCCACCACAGCTTCATAATGTTATTGTTAATAAAATCTAAGACAAACATGAAGCACAAATTATCACAGGGAATCAATCAAGAGCTTCGAAAAATAAAATAAAGTAGTTTAAAGATCTTTAAAGGCATCATGTATTATATCCATTGATGCTGATTTGGAAATACATATGTATTAATACAAACACTTTGTTTTTAAAGATTGTATGTACTTTTTTTTAAAAACGGCTAAGTATTAGTAAAACAAATAAGAAAGCTATACTTCTTACCTGATAGTGTCTATCCCTATGATAGCATAAGCAAAAAATACTGGATTGTATTCCACATCAGACCCTCTAAGATTAAAAAGCCCTGTATCACAATAAAAAGACAGCATTAGAGCCTTAATTAACATCCAACCAACCTTTTAACCAACATCCTCATCCAGATAAAAATTTCTGGATCCTTTCACAGCTTCTGCCACAAGATGGCACTATTATGCTGCACTGGAAACTGCTTTCAAGTTGTGTTTAGTACAGAAAATTAGAATCAAATGACAACATATTTAGTTTTGACCCGGCCTTCTTTCTGGATCCTGATTTATAGCAGCCCACCCAAAACCTGACCACAGCTTTAGCCCTAGAAAAGACACTTTTGCTTTAGGCAGACATGCAGCTTTGCAGTTAGTGCTATGTATGGGAGTCTTGGAAGAGTGGCAGCTCCAAGAAAGTACCAATTATCTTCAAGAGCTAGGACTTTTTCACCCATCTAATGCTGAGATGCTTAACATTACTGGGAACACCAGCCACCTTTTCTTTATTTCCTTTCTTGTTAATTGCAATGATCAGCTAACTCCTCTGATCTTTGCATTTCAAAAGCATTGCTACTGACTAGCAAGATTTCCATACTGTACTGTTGTGACTCAGCAGATGTCTGCTGTGAGTCTTTTCGGGATACAAGATTCATTATGCAGCTGGGGCTTGTTAGAGGCAGGTTTGGAGATAAAAGGACAGAGATGGACAGACAACGTCCGGAGGGATTGTGTTTTTACTGTGGGGATATTGGACACTTGGCAGGGAGCTGCCCCAAGAAGAACAGAAGGGTTGCGCAGACTGCAGCTGTCCCTCAGCAACGCACGATCAAGTCGGACAACCAGCACGTTGGTGCGGCCGTGATACCCCATTCGCACAAGATAGCATGCGTTCAGGGGGGGGTGGAGTCCCAGGGCAGATGCCCTGCCGAGTAAAGTAAAGAACTCCGACCCTACGAACTCACTTCCACCTCAGACTGTTCTACCCGTTGCATCCTGTGCTGCCGTTTGTCATCCCGTGAGCATGCAGTCTCT